GCGGTCTCGTAGGCGCCAAGGGTGCGGTGCAGCAGCAGCAGAGCAGCGTAGCTGATGGCAACGAAAGCCACGGAGGCGACGTCGCCGGCGGCTGCCGCCCTGAGGATGGCCGCGCCGCAGGTCGCGGTCAGGAGGACGGCGATCCCGCCCTTGGCGCGCCCGGCACCGGCGTGTCTCTGGTCCATCCGGTGACTGGTGATCTCGAGACGACGAGCTTGCTTGCTTGTAGCGTTGAGCTAGAATGCTTCCGGGTTTAGTGTTGCTGGTACTATTGACTATTCCGTTGTGATATTGACTTGACTGACTGAGAATATAAGTTCAGGTGCCTTGGACCCTAAGGAACTGGCCGGGCCCACAAGGCATGCAGCAGGATGATTCGGAGTTGGTGGAGAACTAGAGATTGTTTGCGAGGGCCGTGTGCTTACTTGGGGGAAATGCTAGCGCCCATGTAGGGATGAATTCTATCGGATGCCCGCCCCAACACCTAACAAGCCTGGTCCGACGCCTGACCCGCCCCCATCCGCGAACCTGCCCCATCCGCATCCGTTCGCCCCGCCACAGGCGCACCCCGCCGCCATCCCCATATATTTGTTCGCCCCGCCCCCACAGGCGCACCCCCGCCCATCGTGCCCCCGATTGCCGGCCCGCAGCGCACCGCATGCCACGTCCGCCGGCCACCGGCTCGCCATGCCCAATTCCCCGGCGCCCCCTTACTCTCTGAACAGCAAGAAGCATATGCAACATGAAACACTTGAATGCAACATACGTCTGAAACAGATGAAACATCTGAAATATACATCTGCAACATATGTGTGAATACATATGCAACATCCAGATAGAACACTTGAACTTGCAACATGAAAACACTTGCTGCAACAAAAGACTGAAACAGATGAAACATTTTGGAACATACTGTTGCAACATATGTGTGAAAACATATACAACATCCAAATCAAAACGCTTGCAACATACGTCTGAAAACAGATGAAATAGTTTGAACAAAGGCTTGCAACATGCCTCTGAAACATCTGAAATAATTGAAACATACATTTGTAACATAGGGGGGAGAAGCCTGGGCCGGTCGATTCCGGTCGACGGGGTGGGGGCCGGCAGCGAGCGGCTGCGCGGGAGCAGCACCCAGCATTAGCACCAGCGACGCCTGCGAGCACCACCACCACCACCTGCGCCACCGGCACCGGGCTTGGCTCGACGGCGACGGTGGGGGATGGGGGGGGCGGGGAGCGCCATGGCCGCCTGGGTGGGGAAGCTCGGTTGCCGGGGTAGCGAGGACGCCGCGCCGGGTAAGGGAGAGCCGCCCACTCCCCTGCAACACCGCCGCGCCACCTCCATGGATCTCGCTGGTGGAGCGTGGATCTCGCTCGTGCTCCATGGATCTCGCCGAGGTGGGGGATAGGGTCGTCGGATTCGCGAGCATTGAGGGCTCCCGGTGAGGACGCCGGGGTGGGGAAGGACGCTGGGCGTTGGTGCGCTGTTGCAGGGGATGAGGAGCACGGAAGGGGTAAGGATAGGGAGGAGGAAGCGAAGGGATAAGTTTTTTTTATAAAAAATATACATGCGGGTGGGAGCAAGCGGCGGAGTGAAAAAGCCGTCCGACGTTTGTGCGGTCCATTGGAGGCACGCGACTTATGGACATATATCATTTCCCTTACTGGGCCAGTCCACCCTCCACCGAAAGCTCTGGCCCATCTGTTAAAAATTCGCGTCGCACACAATGATGAATCCAGCTGGAACCTTTGGGCCTCCACGCGCATACGCCACAGCCCACAGGTCCCACCGTGGAGGTAGAGGAGGGCCACCGACTCACCGTCACACCGTCAGAGATAATAAATAAAGAAAATTTTCCTCCTGACATTCTTAACTATCTAGCTCCATCTACCTCGTTAAACTAGAAAACCGGCTGTCTTAGCTCTTCCAATTATCAAAATCAGTTGTTTTTCTTCCTTAGATGGGGTTCAAGGCAGTTTACTCCAACCTAATGCCGCTTCAAATGTCATGTATGGCGCACATCGTGATTTTGAACTTTGATGAGGCTGGCCACCGTGACTCAGAGGTCTTCGTCCTATTTTCTTGGCTTATAAGTCGTATTTTTTTAGCCAACGAATAGTATTTTTCTCTCGCAACAAATTAGCCAACAGTACTTTCAGCCATGGCTTATCAGCCAAGCGAATAGGGCACTTGTTATTTTGAATGGGATCAACTACCAAATCAATTGACCCGATCCACTTTCATTCTTAATATATTGCTGGCTCATGTGAAGTGTTTTATATCCACTTTCCACCGCTGGAAAGAAGTTCAGTTTTTTTTTTCAAACATGACCTGCTAGTTGAAGTGTTTTATATTCCAAGGTTAGGAGCATCAAAATTCAAAATAGGAGCGACGCAGATAGTAAGCGAATTTTTCACAATATAAAGGAGCAATGCATATGCAAATATACAAGCGAACCCGCACAATACAAGTGGTGTACGTGGTACCTCATCTTCAGTATTACATCCAAATCACAATATATATCAATACACGCCATATTTGCACATCTGTATCCTGACTGTGTGAACTAGCTAGCAAACCATGTCCTTGACCAATCAGCACAGGGGAAAACCTTCAATCACATCCTCACAACATCGTGCTTGGTAACCTGCCAAAAGTAAAATCATTGTCAAGGAGTATAGCACTAGCACACCACCACAAAGTCTGAGAGAGCCTGTTTAGTTTCCCATTTTGATCAAAACTTTTACTGTTTTATCCTAGTTTGGCAAAATGGATCTAAACATCATAGGCAAAAACAACAAAATTTGGGTTGCAAAACTTTTGACATTTGTGATCCAAGAGACCTAAAACTGGGCAAAAAAACGTCTGGAGAGCGTGTGCTGTGTCTGCATGGCTAAAGTTTTACCATGCATCTAAACACAAAATACCAAAAGTTTAAATGACAAAAGGTTTACAACAAAAAATTAGGACCAAAGGTTTTGCCATTCCAAAAGCATCGAAACACTCCCTAGTTATTGTTGGAGGCTTGGAGCTTAAAGGTTACACATCCATCGATGCCGCGCCGTACCAAACACCCTGCAATCCATTCGTTTTTTTTTTTCCTTCTTTTTTTGAAAGAAAGATCCAAATTAATATCCAAAGCAAACTAGTACGATATTCAGTTTCATACGAATGGAACTGAGTGAGAACGATCAAAATGAAAATGGTCGTGATCAATAGGGTCGTGTATATGTGTTTGCGCTCAAATGATCACTGCATAGTGTACGTACCTGAAATATTTTCCAAACACAGAGCCAGCCGATCATGCTAGCTCTCATGAACACATCAACAAGCAAGCTGGTGGAAAGGTCCGATCACTCGGAATCTGAGATTCAGTGCTCATCAGGGTCGACGCTGACGAAACATGAGAACGAAGCCAGCCGCAGACGTCACGGCCGCCGCGGCCCAGACGCCCAGCGCGACGGGCCACGTCATCACGCCGGCAACCTTCCAGGCGAACATGGCGGTGAGCAGCGTGCAGAGCGCCCAGACCCTGCGCCTGAGCCCTTCCCTACGGACAGCCGCCTCCGGCGGGGCGACCTCGTAGGCGCGAAGGAAGCGGAGCATTAGCAGGAGAGCGCCGTAGCTGACGATCACGAACGCTACGGAGGCGACGTCCCCTGCCGCCGCCGCCCTGTACGTGGCTGCGGCGCAGGTGGCGGTGAGGAGGACGGCTCCCGCGCCGCCGAGGCCGCCGCCTGCGTCGTCCACGCCGGCGACTCTCTGCCTCTGGTCCTCCATTCTAAGACGACAGCGCTTGCACGCAGGTGTACAAGATTGTCTGCTCGTGACTCGTGTGAATGTCGTGAATGAAAGCGTGAAGAAGAGAGAGAGAGACACGGGATCACGGGGGACACGCACACGCTACCTACCTTTGCTTGTATTGGAAGGCAAAGAACCCAGTTTTTTTCCTTTAATTCGAAGCAACGTATCATGTGTAAACCAACCAACCTATACAAACTTGAAAATGAATGCACACACATGCAACGTGTGCCTTGGCGCTAGCATATGTTTATATATCGTAACGCAGCAGTGTTCAAATTCAAAGCCCCATACGTGTGCAAAGGCACAGCCAGCCGACTGACCGAAGCGGCGCCACGTCGCCGCCACCATCCACCAACTGCGTACCTATTCATATCAAGCCGACCGCAATTCTAGCTCAACTCCCATATGGCCATATGATATGATTTGGTTCATTTTATGAACGGCGTTTAGTATGTGTTTGGTTCCAGAGATGGACGAATAGAGGACGATGGAATGAATTGATCCTATTTTTAAGATGCTTGAGGACTGTTAGGGACGCGACCATTTTCGAGGGGAATATACCCCCTATTCGGCCGATTTTTTGTTGTTGCAATTTGGTCTTTTTTTTGTCAAAATTCACGTTTACACCACTGGACAACGTAAATTCAATTTTGGATCCTTTTCTCAACGCCATGCCATACATCACCGGGGTAACACGTCTCGACGTCATGAGGTTGGAGGCTACGAATTACGTGGCTGTCGATGTGGCGTTAACGTGACCAAGGCTCGACACCATAAATCACGGCCATATTCTACCGAATAAACCAAAGATATCTCAACCAAACGCCCCAGAACAGGTTTGTCCACCTAAAAAAATCACGGACAAGACCGTTCCGTCCTACCCTGTCTCAAATCAAGCACACGCTGAGGCGACTACGAGCGGTGGTCGACGGGGTAGAAGCAGAGGACAACTCTCTGCCAGCAGCGCAAACTCGAAGGCAGATTTTTAGCCTGTTTGTTTGAACTTATTAGCCAGCTTATCAGTTAGAACCTACAGTATTTTTCTCTCATAACAAATCAGCTTTAGCCGGCTTATCAACCGTCCCTATTCAAAGTGACGAACTGGGAAACAATACAAGAAAGTGCAGGAAGCGAAAAAGGAAATGAACACGCCCGCCAGCGAGACGCAGACTGATCGACTCGCAAAAGCATCAATTAAGGAAAAACGCCCAGAACCCTCCTGCGGCCGTGGCGACGGCCAAGAGCCAGACCACCGCGGCCACCGGCGGCGGCATGAGCGGCGCCACCCTCGAGGCGAACATGGCCGTCAGCAGCGTGGTGAGCGCCCACACGGCGGCCTTGATCTTGGCATCCCTGCCCCTGCCGCCCCGCTCAAACTCACGGAGGCAGAGGAAGAGCAGCACGAACGCGGCGTCCGCGGCGAGCACGAACGCCACGGAGCCGGCGTCGCCCCAGGAGTTGTAGATGGCTAGTGCCGAGTTGAAGGTCAGGGCGCCCAAGCTTAGCTTGGTCAGGGTGGAATATCCTTGGTCGGCCTCGGCCATGTCAAGACGAACGATCTTCTGCGCGCGGAGGGAGACAAAGAGAGCACAAGAGTGCGGTGGAATATCGTTGGCTAACTGTTCTGCAGGATGTGCGGCGAAGGAATGGCAGCGGGTGCCTTTTTATAGAGGATTCTGGGTGAAGTGGCCCGCGGGCGCAGTAAAGAAGTTGATATGTTTATACACACTTGCGAACGATGTGGGTAAAGAAAACCTCGGTGCTTCGGCATACTCCATATTATCCTGGTATTATGGGTTCCGTTGCGACGTACGGGCATTAAGAAAAAACGCCCAGAACCCTCCTGCGGCCGTGGCGACGGCCAAGAGCCAGACCACCGCGGGCACCGGCGGCGGCATGAGCGGCGCCACCCTCGAGGCGAACATGGTCGCGAACGGCGGCCTTGATCTTGGCATCCCTGCCCCTGCCGCCCCGCTCAAACTCACGGAAGCAGAGGAAGAGCAGCACGAGCGCGGCGTCCGCGGCGAGCACGAACGCCACGGAGCCGGCGTCGCCCCAGGAGTTGTCGATGGCGAGTGCCGTGTTGAAGGTCAGGGCGCCCAAGCCTAGCTTGGTCAGGGTGGCGAGATCAGGGATAGGAGCAGAACCGATTGTGCTGAACCGCCGAGCAGAAACCTGAGTTTATATGCCTGGTTCGCGGGTATGGACGTGATCTGATGTTGGGCGCAGTAAAGAAAACAAAGTTGATGACATGTTTACACGCACATTTGCGCAATCGACACCACGTACGCTGACGATTTTTATATTTGGTAGCGGAGATCAAGTCGGATCGTGCTGCCCTGCACGAGAGCTCCTCGCCGTTGGCGCGGCATGGCAGGCGCTCTGACGTGGTCACGCTATCTCACAGGCAGCTGCCACATGGGTCCTTACGTAGCGACGGGGCTTCCACTATGCGGGTGGGTGCTAGCTGCCGTGCTGCGCACCAACTGTGGAGCCACAGCCAGTGTTGCTCGCGATTGCCATGATCCCTGATGAGCACGGACATTCCGGATTAGCTGGAGGAACCCCCACGGAAGTATATATAGGTGGAGTGGAGTACATCCGGCCGGAGTGCCGGACGGCGACACGGGCCCTGCTGCTACACAAGTTGGTGCCGTGGCTTTGGGCCACGCACTTCAAGCTACCACCAGGCCTTCGTTGCTCCGCTTTTTACGCTTCATGCTGCCGCCACGGAGAAATTGATCTTCCCACGCAACACAAGTCGTCAGCACTCGGGGAAGTCTAAAAACGAGCCAACAAGATTGTAGTGCACCACGGATGATGGCCGAAAGAAGCCCTCCCGGCGGAGGTGGCCACGCCGACTAGGCCATCAGCTCGTTTTTCTTTCTTTTTTTTTTAAAAAAAAACAAAGAAGGCAAAAAAGCAAGCATGAACCAACCTGAAAACTATTAAGGCTTTAGACACCACCAATATTTCATTTCACTTCGTTACCGTTCAACATCTACAAGAATCCAAACTCCATGTCAACATATACAGCAACGATAGAATCCAAATCCGAGGAAAATGTGATCGGCCAACATGGTGAAAGTGCCAAACTCTGTAGGACTCTTTTTTCCAAACTTAGTACAGACGCTACAAACACGCATGCATACTCTTTCTCTACATTATGAGAATCTCCTAGAGACTATGTTAGGACCGGTAAATATCATATCATATCCCTTTAAACACCTCAAAATACTGAGCTAGAGCAGTAAATTTAGAGATCGATGAAGTCAGTGAAATTTTTGTATTTTGGTCCCTTTTGAAAACATTTTTTACAAAAAGACCTACGCCAAAACGTTTTCTGAAAATAGACCATTTTTAGGCGTCTTAGAACACATGACGAGAGGTATGCGGGTCGGCGTCGACTGACACGACGCCGAGGTCTTGCCACGTCACGGACGACCCCGGTCGATGGCGACACGGTGGTGGCGTGGGGTCCGGACACGTCGGCGTCGTGTCAGCTAACGCCACGGGCCCAACCTCGACGCGGCGGGACAACGCGCCGAGCTATTGGCACCATCTCGCGCGGCCCAGCAGCCCAACAACGATCGTGGCCCGATGGCTGTATTGGGTCATTTAACGCCGAGCCACCGGACTCGGGCGCGCCCGACTCAACGCCGAGGTCTGCTCCCTTGAGGCCGCGTCGAGGCCCCTTCTTCTTCTTCCCTCCGTTCTGAAGACCGCCGGCTCTCTGTCTCCCAAATCCCCCACGGCCCCCACGAAACTCTAACCCCCAAATGCGACCTAGGTGCCCGGATCTTGTCTCCCGAAGCTTCCTCGAGGTAATGGTCCCTCTCCTCCTTCAATCTATCCGCGTAGATGTGCTTGCATTGTCTCTAATCATGTGGAATCATGGGTGTATGGTGTTTTGGTATATGTGTGTTTGTATTTGCAAAATGTATGGCTTAGGATGATTGAGTGCATTGTTGTTTAACTGTTTTATGTGCTGAACATGTTAGGTTAGTTTGGTTTCTAGTTATTTTGGTCATTAGGGTTCTTTGTTTATTGTAGGTGTCATTAGGGTTAGTTATTTGTTGGTCATTAGGGTTAGTATGTATTTTAGTTATTTGTTGGTCATTACATTTTAATTTTTTATGACCAAGACGTTTTGCCAAGGTACTCCTCTTTCCCCTCTTTCATTTCATCCATTTAGATTCGGTTGTTTTTGAACTTGGCATTATAGGTTTGGTTCATGTTCATGTTATTCGTGCAATGTATGGTGGTTCAAATGATTGAATGACCCAAATGTATGGTTGTTGTTGTTGTTGTATATGTTCTGGTTTATAATCATTCAGTTAAATTTTGTGTTTGTTGAGATTCAAATTTGCTTAGGGTTTGTAATGAAAAGCTTATTTGGGAGGTATGGTGATTTAGTGTTAGTAGCTTTACATTCGTTGCAAGGTACTTTGGATTGATTTTTTTCTACGTAATGTTAGGATGCCAAGGCGTGGTAAAGCTCGTATTCCAAGGTAATCCCAATGTTTATTCATTATTTGTGCAACAAATAGAAAATCCTAGGTTTAGGTTTGGTTCTCCGTTAATATGACTAAATTCTTTCAATTGTAGCTATGGTCGTCAGAGGGCAAATCCCTACGACCTAAAGCCTCTCCCTGAAGGTGTTTCTCGACCAATGTGCTTTTGTGATGATCCTTGCAAGGTAGATATCTCTGAAGATGAGGAAACATATAGATAGATGTACTGGATGTGTCCCAATTATGCATGGGAACCTACAAAGCAACAGCGCCGTGCATCGTTTGTGAGGAATTTTTATTGTGTGTTAATTAATTTTCTTGTGATATTAAGTATTGCTTATTTATTTGTTTTGTAACAATTTGTTTTTCTTGCAGACCGTTCCACCACTGTGTGACTTTGAGTAGTGGATTGACACTGAGATCAAGGAGTCGGACAAGCAGCATCTAGAAGGCCTGAAGGAGTGGGATGCGGAGGTTAAGGAGAGGTTTGAGCAGAGACGTAGACAGGAGGCTATAGAAAAGGAGCATAAGGAAGAGGAGGAAAGGAGGCGTGTTGCTGCGTACAGGGCGGAGAGGGAGAAGAAGCTTGAGCGTGTGCGCCGAGCGAAGGCAGCGATGGAGGAGAATCCCGATGCCCAGAGGAAGGGAAAGTTGCCTCGTTGCACTCAGTAGGTATTTGGTTTATTCACGAGCGATGTCGTGTAGCCCTAGACTTTTTTTTACTATGTTGTAGTGCACTCTGCTTTTATTTCAGATGAACTTATTCCCTGGACTTTTTTTTATTATGTTGTAATGCACTATGCTTTTATTTCAGATGGTCTTATGCCACATGCCCGTTAACTATCCTAGGACTGTAGTGCTACTGTTTGTATCACTGAAAAGGCTACTTGTGCTGTTGTAGTCACTGAAAGGGCTGCAAGTACTGTTGTAGTCAATGAAAAGTCTATTTGAAAACTCAGCTGAAAAGCCTAGATTCGATTTCTTGTTGTATCCCAGATACGCAATGAATTAATATCGAGTGATGTCTTGCATTTAGATGAAGTGACAAAACACAGGTGTAGCTTGGGCACCTCGTCGCTCGAACCAAAGCCGATTCGAATCGCTTGGGTCGGCGTTAATTGACTAAACACCGAGGTGCCTACCATCGGTGTGTCTTGATTTGACGCCGAGATTTGAGTACACAAAAAAACAGAAATGAACATTTCAGTTCACAAGTGCACAAGTTGACAGAATTTCGTGAGAATACAAAATTTCATAGAATACACATTCAACGCCGGAAACATAGTGATATGCTTCATCAAACATAGTCCATGTCGTTACCACACCGACATACACATTCAACATCGAAACATAGTGATATCAAACATAGTCCAAACATAGTGCATACCATAAGATACATAGAACATTACATAAGGTCGCACAAAAGAAGCATATGACAAGGTCTGGAGCTTTTAGTTCGTTCCTTCTCCAATGCTCCTTTTCACCTTGATCTCTCTTTTTCCTATAATAGTAAATTTTAACAACTTTCAGCGGCTATTGAGCTAAGTTAGGAACAAAAAATGAGATGTAACTTAACTAGCAAATCAAAAGATGTTCGTTTACATATTGAGCTAATTGGTGTATGCTAAAATTTGAGCCAAGTACCTTAACGTGGACGACGAGCGTAACGCTTTCCCCTCCCAAACGGATAGGTACCTGGAGTGTACCTGTCCACTGGTCTGAGCGTCCTCTGTGGACGTCCAGAACCGGAAGGGCCTTGAGTTCCTTGGGGTGCATCTTCAAGCTGGGACATGCCAATCTCATCATACTCATGCTCATAGTACTCTCCCTGTCCTTCATCATCTTCATCATCATAAGGACCATGTCCTTGACCACCCTCTGCACTAGTTGCTGCACCATGTGAAGAAGAAGTCCCGCCAACATGTGCACCATGTGAAGATGAAGTCCCTCCAACATGTGCAGTAGAAGGTCCAGCACCAAGCTGTTGTGGGACTGCCACATCTGCGGCACGTCTACATCCAAGGCGTGCAGCTACCTTTCGGAGGCGATGCATGTCATGCTGCATTTTGAAAGCACTATTAGTAAGTGGGGTTGGTCGCAAAACTATATAAAGATGTAACATCACTTGGATGATGAGGAGGCTACCCGAATGTCTTTGTCATAACATGGAGGCCTCATCAGGATCGCCACAGGAATCATCAATGCCCTTCCTTGCTCGGCCACTGTCCTCATTATCTCTGTGCTCTATGCAAAAAAACAAGAATTTAAGTCTCTATCACAGTAAAGACCTCAGAGATGGAAATAGTTGTGTCGCTTACAGCTCTGGCTAACGCAGGGGCGATCTCAACTTGCCTGCCTTCTCGGGTAGCTTGGTCATATGGATTGTTGCCCTCATCCTCGCTCGCAATGTCAGCAATGTCTTGCTCCGTCCAAGCGGGCCTCAATTGAAGCCTTGTTCGTTGACCAAGCCAAACAAGGTAATCATCAAATGCCTTGTCACGATGGACGGCGTGGATGCCCATGTTGTTCTGCTCCATCAACATCCACTCATCAATGTAGCGCTGGTGCTCCAGCTGCCAGTTGGTGATCTTCTTATTTTTTTGTCTACTGAACCTGCAAATTTTACACCATAGCGGCAATATGAAGGCCTACTCAATGATTCATTCATGTGAAACGAACAAAATATTGCATGTTACGTACTTGTGGAGCTGCCAACCGGTGGAGAAATCCTCGGGCGGAGAAGGTTGCAGCCTACCAAACTGTCGTGCTACAAGGTGAGGGAGATGGTACTCCACTGCATAGAAACAAATAAGGGGGGTCCTCATCGTCCAGACATCCTCGTTTGCCATGCACAAGAAGCTCAAGTTGAGATCCGTGACTTGCCTCCGCCGATATGGGCGCCATTGAACCTGTACACAACGTCGTCATCAACTAGTCGACGCTCAATTTGTGCACATATCCTCGATTAGGCCATATGGGTGGAAAACTTACATGCTGTGGCAAAAGGGTGTCCAGCTCGTTGGTGAAGCTG